ACTTGGACTCGAAAAAACCGACGCCGGAGATCAGTGCACGAGGGACGACCGGTGGCGCTGGAAATTTTTTGGAGTCTGCAAATGGAAACAGGCTTCATCGTGGTCACAGGTAAGCGTTAGGGAACGCTTTCCTACGGATGTCACTCGTGTTATATGTATTGTCTATTTTGGTGATTGAGTGGGTCGACAGATATTCATCACACGTTTCGAGAGCCTTGAGTATTTTTTATATTTCAAGTCAGTTTTCATTAAATGTTTACCTCGTGGAAAACGTGTTATGAAATATTTATTTTATTTGTTGTTGTGTATATTTAAATTAATATAATTAAATGCAATATTTATTCAGATTTATTGAGAGATGATGAGATGTTTAAATGGATTATAATTTAGATACGAAAAATATTAATTAATAATAACTTCTTATAGACTTTGTCTATTGATTTTGTATTTTGTTTTTTTTAATTTCTGTCATTTTTAAATATTTTTTTCAACTCTTTAAAAGAATTATATTTTTTTTAAATACATACATGTGCATATGTTTTTTTTTATTTTGTATTTTTTGAATGACTTTTATCAAAAAACTTTTATATTTATAATATGAATATATATGAAATCTTCAAATGAAATAATATTTGAAGATTATGATGTGTGGGATGATATGTCTCAATTAAATCGCAACATGCTGTGTCACATCATTATAAATATCTACGATTATCTTAATATAAAGTATTCTTTTCCGGGATAGAAATGATAATCATTCATTTTTTATTTTTTTTATAAATGATCCAGTTAACAATAGAAATTTTCAGCATTAATCGAAATCGTAAAGTTAATAATAATATTTTCTTATAATGAAAGTATTATTTCTTCGACAATTTACAATTTTTTTATTCTTACAATTCTTACAACTTTTTAAATTTTTATGGATCTTTTACTGCATTCAACACATTTATTTTGATTTTACTGTTTTCTTCATGAGTATTGCTTTAGAAAAAAAATACAATGGAAAGAAATAATAAGCTTTTTAAAATATTTAACAAAAGAATTCGATATTTTCATTGATGAAATTGAACTTTTTTGATGAAATCAGACACATAAAATTGTTTTATCGTGAATGAAAAAAGCAATATGAATGGTATGACTGAAAAAAACTTCAACTGAATTTTAAAAACTCTGATTAGAAATAATTCAATAAAACTTATAAAACTTAATTTATTTTTTTAAAAAATGTAAATATAATTATTAAAAATTCTTAAGCCTTTATTTTAAAACAAATAGAGATGTTGAAACAAATTTTTTATTGATCAATTATAAATCTTGCCAAAAATTCAAAATAATTTCGACAATAAAAATAGTTATTAGCTCAAAATAAAAACTAAGGAGATAAGATATGTACATATATATTTTAGAATATTTATAAAATAATGAAATTCTAAATAAGAAAAATTCTTCAGAAGAAAAACTCAAAATCAAAATAAATTTAAAAACATTTTTAAATTAAAAATAAAATAAATAAATTAAATTAAATAATTTTTTTATAAAAAATTTTTATAAAAAACTTTAAGTATAAGTTTTTTATGTGTACTATATTTTGATAAAAAAATTTATATAATAATCTGTTTGTAACAGAAAAATAAAAATTACTTGTTTTTAAAATGTAACTTAATTTCATATTTTTTCTTTTATTATCAAAATGTGATCAATTCGTCTTTTAGAAATATTAAAAAATTTAAAAAAATTTGTTATATATTAAAATATTTGCATAAAAATATTAAATAATATTTATAAGCATAAATTTTTTGAATTTTTTTATTATATTTTGATATTTTGCCATATCATAGAATATTTAAGTAAGTAAAAAAATATTTATTTATAAAAATCTGCCATATTTTAAAATTTCAAAAATATATTTACGTTTTTTTAATAAGTTTTATATATTTTATATTTATATATAAAATTATATATATAAAATTTATATATATTTTATATTTATGTAATATTTCGAACAATATTCTTTCATTCATAAATTTTCTGATTGGAATAATTTTACAATTTTTTTTTTCTGCGTAATATTCTTATTTGCTAATTTTCCTTATTTTGTCATTATATTTTATTCTTTCAAATATTTTTTTCATTATATTTTATTTTTTCAAATATTTTTTTCATTATTATTTTATTATATTATAAATCTCAGATTATCATATCACCTAAAATATCAAAATAAGTTTTATTTTGATAATTTTCTATAATACTTTTTCTTTATCTTTCATTTGAATAATTTCTTTATCTAATTTTATCTAATTTCTTTATCTAAATCGTTATCGTTTTCTATTTTTAAGTTTCTTTAAAATAGGTTTTCTAAAACATAAAATAATATCAATTTTAACTATTTATATAACGTTTTGTATCACTATCTAATATTATATCACTATGTTATCGCAAAGTATCTATTGATAAACAAATTTACTTTCGTTATTTGAAGCAATTAATCAATAATTTTTAATAATAAAAATACAATTTTACTTTTAAGAAACAGTATCTTCAATAGCAATAAAAAAATTAAATAATTTAAATAAAATTCACAATCTTTGTATGAAACATTTAAGCTTTAAAACAAATGAATAATTTCTAAAATAAAATCATCTTTTAATGATTTCTATATATAATGTCAGAACTTTACTATTTCAACTATAATATAGACGGAATATAGAAGAAAATGTCCCACTTTCATAGTAAATAATTTCTCATTCTCATTTATCAATCAAATTTATACTGACCAACTTTATATATTTAAAATTTAAATGGCAAATTTAATATTAAATTATAATCTCATTTTTGATAGAAGCCAAAATAAGATAAAATTAAATTTTTTTCAAATGCCGCATTTTTATCATAAATATTTTATTCTCGTATTTTATTTTCATTCTTCATTATTGTCTTTCTTTCTTTCTTTTTTTCATGTATTAAGTTATAATGTAATCATGATATAATATTTAAATATATTCCTATTAATGTTAAAAATTTCCTTATTTGAATGATATATCATATTATGATATATCATATTTAGATAGGTATTTTTTTCAAATAAATACATTATTTTATTTATACAAATATATGATTTTTTTAGAATTATTTAATTATTTAATTATCATTTAAAATAATTTTTTTTGATCATCGATTGAATTAATTTATTTAGTTCATATAATATTCAAATAAAATATTTCCACAGAAATAATTTTTCAGTTTCTAATTCTATCAACTCTTTTATCAACTCTATTATCAATGTGAAAATCAAATTTTCTAAATGGAAATATCTCTACATTATTTAATATAATTTTAAAGAATTATAAACAAATTAAATATATTAAATATATTAATCACGAAGACACATTAACTTAAAACGACAATTTAATCGATAATTTATTCACCATGTGTAAATAATTCATTAGCCCTTAAAAGATATTGCTATTTATTAATTCATCAAATTAAAATTTTCAATCAATCGATAACCAATTTTTTAATCAATTAATGAAAGTTTCGCATAGGTGAATGGTGATGAATTACGAAATTGTTTGTCAGGGCAAAGTTTTAAGGAGAATTTAGCTTAGAACTTTGAATTGATTTTCGTGTTGAAAAGGAGATACATTGAGTGAGAACAGAAATTTTTCGGTGTCGTTTCAATAAGCTTGCATGAGATTAGGTCAGGTTGCAAGAGATTTTGCATGGTCGTTCGATAATGATTATGATTACTTCCTCATTGCTGATGATTAAATATGAAGGATAGTTTGATATCAAAAAATCTAATATACGAAAAATTTCTCAGAAATTGATGGTTAAAATAAAAAAAAAAATAATCTAACCATTTCTTTATACAAATTGTTTTTTTTTCTTGTCTTAAAAATGTCTTTAAATTATTTCGATTTTTTTTCCTTGAACAAAATTATTAAATTCATTTTTCTTTTTATTAAATTCTAAGAAAAATATATTGTTGAAAAATTAACATATGTCTTACATATCTCACTTATATCTGCATATATTTCACATATATATATTTTCTGTAACTATGCAACAATTCTTAAAATATTAATTATATCGATATTTAAACTGTGAATTGGTAATTTTTTTCTTTCTGAAATTTTTATTATAAATTTGTTTTATAAAATTATATATATATAGAATATTGTACATATTATACAAATGCTATTATATATACATAAAAATTATTATTATAATTTATTATTATATATCTCAATAACAAATCTTTCTTATCAATAAAAATTTTTTTTTTAATTATTCATTAAAAGATATTTCTAACAAATAAAATGTAAAATATTATTTTATAGATATTTCTAATAATTTCTAGTAATTTCTAAACTAAATTTCTTATCTTATGCATTTTTTTTATTAAATTAAATTGCTGCTGATTAGCAGTAATTGATCAATAAAATTTCAACTTGTGAATTTATTTGTTTATTATTAAAATTTCAAATAAAAATTTCAGAATTTTAAATTCTTTTTTTTTAAAAATGAATATATAAATTTTTTTCATATAATTTCTACTTTCATAATTTCTACGTTCTTACATGATTAATAAATTAATTAATAAAATTTAATAATTAACATTTCAATTCAAATTTATTCGCATGTTTTCTATATTACATTCGTTACATATTATATTCATATCATAGCTTGCAGACATCATGTTATAAGTATCAGTAAATAATGCAATATATAATTCTATTAACATTTATTATATTTCGTTATTATAACTAAAAAACCTATGCTATAAATGCTGTAATAAAATGGATTTATATCTTATATAAGATTAATTATGTATGTATAAATGCATAAATAATTTTTGCAAATACAAAAAAATGCATTATAATTTTAATAAAAATTTATACAGATTGCTACAAGATTGATACAATTTATTCTCAAAAATACAGATATTTTAATGAAGCAGCAAATATAAATAGAAATCAGGATAATTATGAATTATATACAGCATTAATATATTTATGGAAAAGTAGAAAATTCTAAAAGTCAAAACAAACACAAGTTGATATACAAAAATATCGATTGATTGAATCCATTTATTAAATTATAAGAAATTTAAGTATGTATTATATAAACTGAGACAAGATAGAGATAGAGAAAGATAATATGACAGAGACAGAGCTATTTCGCTTCATCTAATACAAATTTCAACTGTTTTTAATTTAATGAGCTTTAATCGATATTTTTATATAACAATTTTTATTTTTTTGATTTCTAGAATCAAGTCTCCAAAAATATTTTATGAATACATTAAGAATTATACAATCTGCGGCAATCTTGATTAAACGCAATAATATGATTTTCTGAATAATGAATTTTAAATTAATGTATTCTATTTTTCGATAATAAAATATCATATTAATAATAAATAAATAAATATTTAAAGAAACTTGTCAATTACTTATTTAATATAAAATTATAAATTTTTTATAGAAAAAAAAATATTCTTGCATCATTTAAATAAACATATTTTTTGTTTTTTGAATTATATTTTTTATTGTTATTGTTCCAATTATGTATACTATTCTTATTAATTAATAATTTCGTTTTATTAATAATAAATTTAATAATAATAAATTTAGTAACACTTATAACATAAAAAATTATGTCAAGAAAAAAATATAACTTAAGAAATGAAATTATTTTGGAATTCCAAAATAAGTAAAAATATTACTACGTTTAATCAAATGTTACGAATTTGTACAAGAATAACTTAAATGATTAAAATAAGTTTTAATTAATTAAAAATGGATTTATAAATAAAATTATAAATAAAAAACATTGACAGTATTAATTAAAATGTCCAAATCATTACAATTATATTCTTTTTCTATACTTCATATATATTTTCTTTCAGATTTTTTTTTTTTATTATTTTTTCTTTTTAAATTGCTTATCTAAATGCAAATATATTGATAATACATATTATATAATGTGAAATAAAATTACATGCTATATGAATGAAAATTTTTTATACTGTAATAATAATAAATAAGTACATATCTTTAAAACATCTAAACTCTTTACGCCCTTTTCTAAAAAAAAATCATATCTACGAAAGATTTAATAGATTTGATAATTTATGTAATAATAATGTCAGTAAATAGTCAATATGATACTTAAATTTTAAAATATATTTCAATCGATTTTTTTATTTTTTCTTTCCATCAATGCAATTACACAAATTCCATAAAGTAATTTACATTTGCGATATTAAAATATAGTAAAATTATAGAATTTTTTCGTGATAAATTCACAATAATTGCCCCAGTTAGATAAGATAAAGAGACAAAGAACATTTATTTATTAGATAAATAAATAAAAAGTATTATGAATGGAATTAAAATTGTCCAGCATTGCGTACAGATATATCGAGATTTAAAAAAGATTCAGAATCGAGATCGAGAAAAGAATTCTTCGTCATATCATCATTGATTACTTTATTTCGATCACTGTTCACACGTATAACCAATAATAGTATTAATATCGATATTATTAATGATACTATCGATTCAATTGAATACCAAAGCATTCACTAGAAATTATTGATACGTATCAAAATTTTAAATATTTGGTATCGATTATCGATACCGATTCCTCTTCATTCAATATCAAGCCAATACTGTATTGAATCAATCCATTTGATACTTCATAAAGATCAATACTCATTTAATATCTGTAATATTATCTAATATTTTTTCCTCTAGATATCAAAGAGATATATTCATTCCCTTCAATATTTTAGCCTTTGATATTGTATTGATATCAGATCGAAAATTCATAGATTCACAAGTATTGATAACATGAATATCAGAATCAGTCATATCAAAATAGCCACTGTTTCTACTATTATATTTGTAATATATGTGATCAAATTATACATGTAAATAATTGTCAATAAAGCTATTATTTTATATGATATATTTTATATAATAATGCGCAATAAGTTTAAAAAAAAATATGTAAATAAATAATACAAACAATAATGATGAATGATGCCTGTCCTAATAAAGAATAAATAGATCTAATTGTAGATAAAATGAATTATTATTCGTTGTAAAAAGACTTTAAGAAAACGAATATACGATGAACTTGACAGTAAGACTCTAAACGCAACTTAAATATATTGCATCTGCGTATGCATCATCTCTAGACTGTGTCTGGAGAAGATAATCATCAACGTGCATATGACATTGATACACAGTCAAAAATTAGAAAACAGAAGTATGCTTCTTCATTGTAACGATACAAATGCATGCGTATATGAAAACGCTTTTACATTAAAACATTATTTGAAATAGATATCTATTATTTTCTTTTTTTTTTTAATGAATTTTCGCTTTAAAATAATATTTGTATAAGTTGATATCAAAATTTGAAATATTATTTCTTAATTATTATTTCAAAGAGAAGTTTATTTGCGAAATCCAATGTCGTTCAAAGAAATAAATGATTTCATTCTATTTATTAGAAATCATATTTTTTAAAATTTATTTTTCTCAAGATATATAGACATCGCAAACAAAGATAAAATTGGTCCAATCGAACGAACCGAGTCTATTTCTTTTCTCGTGCTTAGTTTCTATAAATAATCGTACATTGTTCGAAGAGCATATGTCGTACCACGTTTTCTACGAGTCCAATGTTGACCTTGTTCGTTAAGAGTGCCATTAGAACTTACCTTGGCAGCAAAGTAGTCCGACCGGAATCATTTCAGGTATAAAATTTGGAGAAGGGGCAGAATAACCAAGGTTAATGATTTTCTAAGTTCTCATGTCAAAGAATCATACGATGCACAGTTATGTCCATCGAATTTGTGTACTTATATATGTATATATATATGTATATGTATATGTATGTATATATATATACATATATCTCTATTCTTGGAGCGTTGCGATGACATAAAGATACGTGCAAGGAAAAATTTGAAAAATGTATGATACTTATAATGTAAAATATTTTAAAATGATAAATTGATCATTTAAAAATCAAATGATTTTTTTTCAATTTCTGAAAAGTTTTTTATTTTTTTATATTTTATTTTTAAATTTTATATTACATATGATTAATTAACTTTTTACAAAGCAAATTATTAATTTTAATAGAATTAATATGATATTATGATATTTATGATTATTTACTAATAAATTTTATTATAATATTAATATTATGACATTAATGATTATTTAAGTAATTTTAATCAATATTTTAAACATTATAAATATTTTAACGTTTTATAATACTTTACTTGTTATTAATATTTTAGTATCTTGCCATCCATTTTATTCATTTCAAATTTTTTCAATATTTTAAATTTTCAAAAAAAATTCTGAAAAAATTTAAAATTATTTATAACAATTATTTATAATAAAAATAAAATAAATGTTATAGTATCAATAATAAATAATAATTTTGTTTAATTCTAATCTTGTTTTTTAATAATCTTAAAAAATAATTAAAATATTAATAAAACTGAAATAAATATTTACACAAAAAATGAGAGTAGATACAATGGTTGAACAAATTGTCAACTATTTATATCTATCAATCATAAAAATTAAATTATGAAAAAAAATAATAAACATATAACTACGTAAAGAACATATTTGTAGCAAATTGAGATAAATTTTCATGCCATTATCATTTTAAGGAAAAATACTTAATATACAATTACTGCTTTTCTCATTTGTATTCACTTATATTTTATCTACAAACAATAAATATTTTATTATTTTTTTTTAAATTATTAAATATTACATATGAATAAACATGTTTTATTATTATTTATCATTTATCATTGTCAAAGCAAGATTCAATGCTAACAATACAAAAAATTCATTATTATTTCAAAATTACTATTTTTTTTCATAGCTCAGGTATCTTTCATATATCATTAGAATTAAATCATTTAGTAATCTAATGATTTATTTTTAGCTTCCTCAAAACAATTACTTTGATGTCACGATAAGAGGAGAAAAATATAAGAAAGATGAAGATCCTTGGCGTGGAATTCGCACCGTTGAACGTACCATTGAAACGAAGATTAGAAACGCTCTCTGCTGCGTTATGGATTATTCTTCTAAGCGGAGGAGATTTAATGGGTTACCTTCTTTTTGCTTATCTTCTATTGTACTCAAAAATCACACGCTATTTCGTGCTGCTCTACACAATTTGGATGTATTATGATTGGGATACATGTAATAAAGGCGGCAGAAGGTAAATTCTATGTTTACGATTTCTTTTAATTTTTTGACTCGTATCTCAGTATGATTCTGCATGAAATAATAAGTCGAAAATACAGATTTGATTTGAAACTTGCTTTTCAAATTTGAAAATTTTTTATATACGAATTAATCAAATGAAATTGATTAATTTCGATTGGATAAAAATGAACTATCGATAATTATTATCGATGATTATTATTACTACTAAATGTGAAAATAAATAAAAAATATAAAATTTAATCGCTTAAATCTTCATTTTTTCGATCAATTTCAATCGAAATTATATATATACGTGCAATTTTCAAATTCATTCTTTATCAAAAATTAATTCTTAAATGAAAAAAATTTATTCTATATTTTTTTTTTATCTTTTTCTTCATATATCAAATTATCTCCTATCGATCTAAAAATTTTAAATCTAAAAATAACCATTTTAACTTATACTTGAAAATTTTTTTAATTTATTCGAATTTTAAATAATAAAATTTTCTATATTTTTCTATATTTTTAATATATTCTTTTATGTGTCACTCTTTATCGAATTTTATCATTAGTTACAGGATATTCTGTATAAGATGTTTCAGATAATTCCATTTTGTAACATATTTGAAAAGTTATTCTGAATAAAAAACTATATATATGCAAACATTGTCATTTTTCTTGTATCTTCTCGTTCTCAAGAATAATAAAGTAATAAATAGATGTAGTATTACTTAATTTTTAATATTTTGTTTAAAATCAATATAAATTGATTTTATATAATATATAAATTAATATAAATTGATTTTATATAATATATAAATTAATTTACACTTTTTTATATGATGAAATATTTTTTAATTGATGAATACGATTGAATTTTTGGATTATTTTTTTAGAGATTATCATTAATTAAATTAATATAAAATATAATTATAAATAAACAATTAATAAATAAACAATCGTTAATAGTTGAGTACTTTAAATCCATTTGATTATTTACATATTGATTTATTTGTATTACTACATTTTGAAAATAAAAATTGAGAATCATTTCATTGTACATCTAATATTTTTTATTCAAAATGATATCTTAAATATGTTGGCAAAATTCGTTGATTTCTAATTAGATATCCTGTGCATGATTTGCAATCTTATCGTTTAATAAATTTAATTTAGATAAGTAATCGATACGTTAAATTTGTAAATAAATAAGAATCGAAACGTTTAATAATGTTTTTGAATTATTAATTGAATAATTTATTTTATATAAAAGATTTATAGAATAGATAGAATTAAAATTTGTTATTTAGAATTAAATTTTTTATTTGGATCTTTTTCTGAAATTACCTATGTGATAAAATTTTAATTATTTAATATATTTGTCTATCTTGTCAATTATTTAATATATTTTTTATTAAATCGATTAATTCCATATAATATTATTTAAAATAAATATTTAAATTAATCAAATATAATTAATTTATAAATTTTACTTAAATCATGAAATAAAATTAATTTTAAGTATTCATATATTTAATTTTTATTAATATATATAATTTTTAATATAATTTTTATTAATATTCCGGATATTGATCTATGCAAATGAAATTTCAATATTTCACATTAATTAAAGTTTTTTTACTCTCTTAATCTATCGTATATATTGTCGTTAAGAATCTAAAGAGAAATATAGTAGAGGTAAAATTTCTTTTTACCATTCTTTTAATTAAAATAAAAAATCATCTTCTATAATTAGTAATATTTGTTAATAATATTTATTAAATTTATAATAAAAATATTTTCCTTAATAAAAATAAAAACTTCAACATCTCGAAAGTTTATGTTAAAAAAATTATTTTTTATACTGAAAGATAAGAGGCAAAATTCGTTCACTATTAAAAAATAATCCTACAATTTTTCTTCGACGTTTCTTATTTCATCCTTTTGCACGTCTATCCCATTACACATTATAATTAAAATGCATCACGAATTTTCGATTTCTCTGTTTCAGCGAACGATGGACAAGATTGATGAGAGGCAACGCGTGGCAACGTTACTTTTGCAACTATTTCCCTATAAAATTAGTGAAAACTACCGACCTGGATCCGACCAAGTCGTATTTATTCTGCAGCTTTCCACATGGAATTCTGTCCACAGGAGTATTCGGCGCATTCGGAACGGAGCATCTCAACTGTAAAAAAGTGTTTCCGGGTTTGGATTTCCGGGTCGTGATACTGGAACAACACTTTAAAATCCCGTTCTTCCGTGAATATGCCTACATGGGCGGTACGTATCATTAATAAATTTTTATTTTAACGCATGTGGCGTAACAAGTAAGTGTAACGTAAAAGCTCTTGATTATGTATTTTTTAGAAACAAAATAAAAGAAAACACATTATTTAATTTTCTTTAAAGATAGAATTATAACTTCAATGATATATGAATTATGAAGAATTTATAAAAATTTACAGAATTTTATTATTTTTTATCTTAAAATTGTTTCTTTTCTTTTATTTTGCTTGATGAAATATTATTGAATGTTTCAAAGGAGTTTCAAAAGCATAAGTGTAAAGTACATTTTTTCCTCGATTTGTATCATAAATTATCTATTCATGTGAAACCTCTTTATAAATAAAGTCTATCAGTTGAAGAAAATATTAAAGGAAAAAGTCAATATATTAGATTATTAAGATATTTATTTCAATATTTTCACAAGATGTGCTAATAGAAATTCAATGATAACAATGTACATAATCAGATAAGTTATATAATATAATTATGACTATTATAATATATTGCATCAATTAATTTAATACAATTTTTAATCGGTGATCCAATACTTTATTTCTAATTTTCAAATATTTCAGTGATAAATATTGCATGTTAATTATTGATATTGTATATTGAATTAAGTTTTCTTACAAAAAATTAATCATCAATAATTGAAGAGAAAAAGAAAGGAACCGTATATAAAAAGTCTGCATAATCAGAGAAATTATATTCTCGCGTAAAAAAATTATTTAAAAATCAAAAGAAAAAAAAATATTTAAAAATATTTACATTGAAACGAAGCTTGAATTAATTTTAATCGTTTGAATTTTAATTTTTTTAATTTTTTCGTATTTTTAATTTTTTCAATTTTCTTTTTTTTTCTCATATTTTTAATTTTTGTTTAAAAACGTAGCCGGTATCAGCAGTTCCCAAAGAAGTTTAATCCATCAGCTATCGACGAAGCCCGAGGCACCATTCACCGGAAGAGCAACCATTCTTGTTATCGGTGGAGCATGGGAATCATTGGAATGTAAGCCGGGCAAATATCGTATCCTGCTAAAAAGGAGAAAAGGCTTCGTTAAGATTGCGCTGAAGCATGGGTTAGAATTATCAATGTTTACATTGATTCGTATTACAAATTCGCGAGAATATTGAAAAAGAAAATCTACATTAAATATGTGCATACATTTATTTGCTTTAGTACTATTTTAGTACTTTGACGTACGTTACGAAAAAAATGTCTTGTTTAACTTATGAGAAATAGTATATTAAAGTAATATCATCATAAAAAAAATCATATTTAAATGATTTTCTTCTCAAAGAAAATCACGTTTAAATGAAATAAAAATTAAAATCAAAAAGATTACATCAGATTTCATCTTTTTCATCATTATAAACATGTTACTGTACATGACTCACTCATATAAGTTTTCATAGCAAACATTCGAAATATGTCTTTTCTTTAAACGATGTTCCAAGTATATCTTTCTTATTTTATTATTCATTAAAAACTACAAATAACAAAGATAATAATATTCGTAATAATATTAATATTAATATGAATTTAATTTCGTACTAAATCATAAAAATGTGATTTTCTTTGTGAGAAAAACGAAATATGATTTCGAATTTTACGAAAACAATGATTTCTAACGTAACGCATGTCATTTTAATTTTTAATATTATGCAAACGAGCGGCTTGCAGCAGTTTGTCATCAATATATTTTAACATTAACATAATTAAGTATATACATTATATAAAAAAAGTCACGTAAAAAATTATGAAAATTTTTTGCGACAACTTTATAAACATTCATTATATTCATTATTGGAAATATATACTGCCGCTCAACTATAAAATAATAAAATATATTGTTTTCAAGATCGAGGAAAATAGATTTTTAAAATGAATAAATAGAAATAAATATTTTTACTTAATATTATTAATTTTAGATTTTAAACTATAAAATTAAACGTGTTATATTATATTATACTATATTGGATATCTTTGAAGGATTTTCAACCAAACAAACACAAAAGTTATATTATTATTATAAAATATAATAATTTATTTATTAAATTGCAATTAAAGTTTTCATTAGATGAAACAAGGTGGATTTAGAGTGAGACCATTTTGTCTCTGTTACATTATCGTCGCTCTCTGTTTCTGTCTCGCTTCACCAATGTTAATTTATGTTTATTTTATATTGTTTATGACTTAATAATATTATCTTTGACAATTATTGCATTTCAATTAAACGGAAAATAAATATTTTACTGGCATCCAATCCAAATGTAAATTAACTTAAATATTGAATGAAATAATATTTTCAGATAATATTTGCTTATGTTTTCTTAATATTTGTTCTAATGTATTTTAAATTCTTTTAAATTTTTGCTTTTAATTAAATAATTTACATTAACATTTTTATCCTTCGCCAAAAATTGACGTTGAAATTCGAAAAGAAGAAATAATTATCAAAAAAAAAAAAAAAAAAGA